CAAGGCTTGTAAGTGGAATGCACTAGCAGGCAAAGGTGTTTCAGGAGAATAATGTGAATGAACCACTATTGAAGATATACTTGAATATGAATGAGCTTTATGAATACATCATAATCAAAATACTTCTGCAGCATACTGACACACACAAACCACAATCCTCCCCTGCCGGCCGTGCTTCACTTGCACCTCGATAGGCCTAATAACCAGAATTGCGATTGGAAATGACTTTGCACCCTCTGTATTGTTCCACCACAAGACCGGTTTGCCTTGTAGCTGATAAAGTCTGTGACTCGTCTGTAAAAAAAATGTACGACCTTAAATATGTGTGCGAAAAAGCAGAAAGCGAGAGAGAGCGCAAGAAAGAAAAGGGAGGATAGAGTATGTAGTCCCTGGGGATCTGGACATCCGTCTTCAAAGCAAGAAGAACACGGAAACCACCTCTTCTGTCCTCAGAGCGTTTTTTATCGTGCTTCTCTGAGGTGAATGAGGCCAGGCCGGGAGCGTATCACGACACAAATAGACGCACAAGTAAACAGGCTGACAGACAGACTGAGTGATAGACAAAGTCTCTAGTTCTAGTTTCTGCAGAGTCTCTTTTAAGGCTCTGCTAAGACAGGCTATGTGTAAACAAATGCATTGCAGTGGCTAAAAGACGCAGATCAAGCAGGGATATAATGAGATCATGTGTAAATGTGGACCCTTGCTGCTCTACATAGCAATTAGAGAGATTGGACGAACAAAGAGAAAAAGAGTGAGTGAGAGAGCATACACAAGGGGATCGTGTGTGTGTGTGTGTGCGTGCGTGTCTGTGTGTCTGTCTGTGTGGGTGTCTGTGTGTGTCTGCAGGCATAAGAGGGGTGAGCAGGTTCAACAGGTCTCATGTTGGGAGGCTTGCCAGTGTTCAGGTGCTAGAATCCTATATCAGAGCCAGTGCTGACCATGGGGCTATATCAAGTGCCGGGTAGGGTTTCAGCCCCAGGCGGCGATGGAGGATTATTTTGACAAAGACGGGTTCTGGCCAGCCTGAAATAACTGATCCAAACTTGCTCTGACTTTCGTGCACTAATGAAGAACAGTGGGAGGAGAAGAGGGAAAGGCGAAGTGAGATGCACCTCCTGCCCATTCCTGTCAGGAAGTTAAAAGAAGTGGTGTGAAACGGGAGAGCGTGTCAGGGGAGAATTCTGGGAAGCAGTGGAGAAAAGGGAAATGTCAGCACGCCAGATCTTCCGTGTATAGGCCTTATACTTGTAAACCAGGGGTGAACTTTGGGATATTCATGCATAATCAGTGTACAGAGTGATGTGAGCTTTCTTGTCTCTTTGATAATGAGAAAAGAGGATAGTGATTGGAGCCATGGCACTTTTCCCAGGGAGGACGATGTAAGGAACAGGCTGTCCTGAGTGTCTGGGGAGCAGCTATAAGTGAACCTGCAGCTATGCAAAGTAACCGTAACTCAGGAGCGTGTATTAATTCATCAGCACAAAGCTGTCAAAGCTCAGGCAACAGTTTCCAATTTCAGAGACCTCTTTCATATAGCCCTAGGTGCATATTATGTGAATGTGTGTGTACTCGAGCACAGGTGTGTTTTGAAAGGTGTGTTGTGAGCATATATATGGGATCCATAAGGACATGTGATGTGCTTCTCTAACATAACAGAGAATAATAAGAGTGAAATGTATGAGATGAACTATGCACAAGTATAGTGTCACTTGCAAAGTTAGGAATCTTGAATAAGGGACTTATCAGATCATTTTAGCCTAAGGTTATGTTTACATAACGAATATTGTTTTCCAAGAAGATAACTGCGTTTTTACGAACCAACTTTATCAAAGACATAATGTACAGTCTGTCTAGCTGCCAATCAACAGGCAGCTAGACACAGTATTTCATGAATAGTTTTTTAATTCCATCATACTCTTTCTGGCGAAGTATGTAAATGAATCAGTTTTTGACAGTCAACTCTGCAATCTAACATAACAGGCATGAAGTGCAAAGTTATGGAAGGATCACATCACCGATTTTACTCATCAAGATCAGTTTACTCGTCATGGGAAGTCATGACCCATTGCAAGACCCATAGTCAAGAATACAACTGAAAATGTCTCTCCATGTAGTTTCCAATGTGAACATTTTGTTTTTAAACATGAGGCTTGTGAGTCTGTGAATGGAAGTGCAGTACTAAATTGCTGGAGCGCCCCTTCATTAATAAAACAATGTCACAGTGTACTTATATACAAACACATTGGCCTTCAAGGCTACATAATATTGGCCAGATAAGACATATATTATAGATACCCAATGTGGATGGAGATGCAAGCAATCACTGGAACCCCTCTCTAACTTTAACATTTGTGTTGATTTCCAATTACACCACATACTAAAAGCTTTCTTGTAAAGTAGCAAAACTTTGGATTAATCTGTACATCTTGGATTGACAACTTCAACCTCTTTTAGCAATCTTTTTTTTCTAGCTTTTGAGAATACATTTTAATCTAATGCAGTCAAGAAGAAGCACTTGGAGTATAGGGAAGCTTAGTCTTGGCCCCTTCATCCTATTTATACATTGCATCCTACAAGACTAGTGAATACTGTGGAAGCACATGATGGCCCAGAACAATGTCATCACACATATGTTTATTCTCTGAATTCAGTAAACATTTTCTTGTCTTAAAAATGTTGTTATATGTAATAATAATTCAGCTTATCTAAAGTCCTTTAAAAAAAAAAAAAAGGCCAATATGATTGAGGACAAAACACACAAAAGTTTACTATGTTAATGCTTAGCTAACCGCAAAAGCATTGTTGTGAAATTCTGTTTGCAGACATTTACCATTTTTTTCAGTCACAGCTCGGCCTACATACACAACCGTGTAAATAGTTACCTGACATCCTGAGGCATTTCAAAAATGTATTCTTGGCCTTCATAGCTGAGAGTTTTTCACGTCAATGTCACTGTTTTGTTTTGAGAACAAGGTGTTTGGAGTGTTTCTCCAGAAGGACAATTCCATTTTAGTGAAGTGTAAGATAAATACTCAATGCTTATAAAGAAACCTACTTCTGAATACATAAAAAAGAGATTATGTGACCTACAATGCACTGTCATATGTTACAAACCCAATTAATTTGCTTTTTGTACAATCACTTCAAGTGCAAGTCCTGAGTTAGACTCTGCTATCATTAAAGGCACATATTTGTTCTAATTAAACCTTAGACTGGTCTGCCATCTAGTGGTGACACAAAGTGCTGCATATACATTCCAAATGGACCACAGCCAATGAGCTCAAGACATACACTGACCAGAGGCAGTGAAAATGTTCAGAGCAACCAACACAGAGTATCAGTTTTGAGGGCATATTAATGTGAGATGAGACAAAATACAATTCGACAAATAAAAGAGCAAGGTATAACTGGTATTCCTGCCACCCTCGATGATTGTGTGACTAAAATAAATGAAAGCCTACATTGCCTGATAGCCCCCTAAAGACATTCGTATTTAAACATAATTGTAGAAAATAAGCTACTGTTCTTGAAGTCAGTGTACTGATTTGTTGCCAATGACTCATTTTTATGCTATAGTTCAATCTGTATAAGGCTTTCTGATGTCCAATCCAACTATGGGTCATAGACACTACCATAGTAAAATAATAATGTTTGATTAATTTTTATTTCTCAATATTATTCATTATGATTTGCCTACAGACCTTTCATTTAAATGATGACTTACAGAGTGAGGATGAGCCTAAAGTTTAGATAAGAGGGTTTAGGTTTTTGCAACACTTTGAACAGGCCATGATTGAATTAACATGTTCACTGAAGATGACTACTCATTTCATGTCTTTGTGGTTTTCCTAATTGTGGTGGCTTCAACAACCTAGTGGAAGTTTCCATTACACAGTTAGAAGTAAAGTGGTTGTTTAATGTTAGTATTTTTAGACTTTTTTTAGACAAACAAGTAAACATTTTTGTATATAATTGGATTGTATTTTGGCAGCAAAAATATTTGAAACATATCTTTCCACACTGCCATTGACCTTCATATTTGGGATCAAAAGTTACAGGAAATAGCTAACTAAGAATTTAATTAAAAAAACTAAATGCAAATATTTAAAATGTTAAAGGAGATTACCAATAGTATCGTTATTATAATGTTTTGAGGCTGATTTTTGTGTTTTACCTTATCTACAGTGTCACATTCTGGGCCGTTATCAGTAAAGCCACAGTACGGTAGAGTAAAACTAATCAAATTCAATATTTTTTTATAGTGAATTATCTTCAGATTATGAACAGCAGGCTGAAAAATACCACAGCTCTCAAACCTTGGGGTGACCTGCTCTGGTCAGAGTACAGGATCTATTTGTGTCCGTCTCTTTTACTATCAAAACATTGCCAAGTGGCTCTCTTCAAAACAGCAGAGGGTTAAAGTGCTAATTTAAGACATTGATTCCCAAAATGAGGTCTGTGGACCCCAATGAGTCCGACACTCTACCAAGGGGTCTGTGGGGTACATTTTCAGATTCATTCATTAAATGATCATGATTTAATAACCTTTTTTTTTACTTCATAGATTAACAAATATAATTTCAATTTAAAGAAAAAAATAATGGACTTCATAGATCATGTTCTATTCCACACACACTGTGTAGATGTATTCGGAAAAAACATATATTTGTGTTATTATTTTTAATGTATCTGTCAAATAAATTATTTCACAGAACAAAGTTCATTGATCAGGGGACTGGTGTCTTGTGAAGGGCTCCTTGACTGAAAGACAATGGTAAGTGAGATCTGATTTAGGACAACATTTCGTTTTCTTGAAAGAATATAAAGGTGACTTAGTGCTGGTTACTTTTGGCTGCATTGCGTCAATCAGCTCATAACTTTTTGTCATGTTTAACTAGCTCCCTGTCTTGGTGCCTCGCTGAGTGGCTCTTTTATAAACACTTCCTCTGTCGTACTTCTCCTTTAAGCGCCGAAAAAGCCCCGGCCATGACGTCAGCAGTAAAACCTGCTGGGTGTCTGTCCGTCGGAAAGTGAACTGTGTGTTTGGCGTGCTACTGCTACTGTCGGAGTTTTCCCCCTGTTGTCTGTCTTTCGTTAAGTGTTTTCGTCGTTTTTTTTTACTTCACTCGTAAGCTTCTACCTTTCTAATTTAGAAACCCAGTCCTGTCGCCGATTTATGGGCTGTTTTAGAAAAGTTCCTGAAGTGCTCTTTGAGGAACCGGTGGACGGCGGACACCACCGGAGATGGATAAGCTAACCGATAGCTGAGTTGTTAGCCGAGAATCACAGGTCAAGAATAGGATCAAGCTAGCATGCTAACAGCTAGCTAACTTAGCATTTAATCAGCTAACCAAGTGACTTTGTTAACCTGTAACGTCAGAACTACTGCCTGTTGTATCTCGGGCCTGGCTGCTACACCGTGAACACCGGAGGCCAGCTAACCCAGAAAGAACACTCGTTCTGTAATTATAAGGAAAAATACAGAAGTGTTGTTAAGAAGTGGCTGTTGTTCGCCTCTCAGCCCAAACCAAAAGCATGCTATCCAACGCACAGAACCAGCCACTGTTTCCCAACCCGGCGGGGCAGCAGAACCCGGGCCAGTTCCTCCCATTCAACGCGAGACCCTCCTTACAGATCAAGAAGAATGCCATCACAGACGACTACAAGGTGACCAGCCAGGTGCTGGGGCTGGGCATCAATGGCAAGGTGCTTGAAATCTTCCAAAAGAAGACTGGAGACAAGTATGCGCTGAAGGTGAGTTATATTTGGGAAAAATATGGGTCAGAAAGCTATAATGTTAAGTGTGTAAAACTGAGGGACAGCAAGTTGAAATACAGCAGGTTTGTTGTCCAAATGTGGGTCTAATCCAAATGTCACCAGCTACACACATTCATGTTGAGTTTCACGAAAGAGTTAATAAGACCTGGAAATATTGATTGATCAATTAGACCATTGACAAAACATGTATTGGCAACAACTATTTTAATAGCTGATTAATTCATTTTTTAATTTTTTTTTATGTTTTAAGAATACATTCACATTATTGGTTGAAGACACAACTTGACGTCAGAACATTATTTGCAGATTAGGATAACATTTTTTTGTGATGTTTTTGTTGTCCTTATGGGTCATTGTCATACTAGTATTGTTCTCCCCATCTTTTTATCATCCCCGTTTGATAACTTTAACTATCATACACAAATGATATTGACAGTGAACCATGACTGTATGAATAGTTCAGGGTCTTGTCTCAAAGCAGAATGCAGTCTTTAATGGTATTATTTTCTCTCAACTGATATAATCACCCTCCGCTCAGAAAGAGATTTTTTTGTTAATGAAGTCATCTGTGATTTAAACCCCTTATATAGGATTAAATGGATTTTCATAGTCTAAGTTGAGTATTTCTTTCACCTTCTAAGCAGTGATTTGTTAAATCTTATCATGTGTCAAAGTGTTTTGATCAGTGGAGTCCAGAGCCGGATATGTGATGTTGAAACTGTTTCTCAAGCTTTTCAATTGTAGTTGTTTTGATCATCCACCATTGAGTGTGATGATTTAACCCTGTGATAAACAAATATAGTTTTGTAGTTTCATCCTTGGATTTACAAGTAGGTACTCTCCTGTGTCCTGTTTATTACAAACAGCTTAGGGGGGGTTGTAATGTCACCCTGCATTGTCAGGAACTACAACTGGAGTTAAACCTCTGTATCGGTCAATGATTGATAAAGGACAAACGCCACAACAGCTATACACACACTGGTTACCAAAATATGACCCAATGAAGAAGTTTATTATTATAGCCCAATTCACTTTCTTCATTATGATAGAAGGGATTCTTTTATAAAGGTTGTTGGTGTTGCACAAAATCTCCCCCAAGTGAACAGCACACACCATGGGAACATCCTGTGCTGTGGTTCAAATTGAAATTCACTCTAAATAACCGGGTCACCGCTTTCTGTTTGTGTTTGTTCTAAACATGATCCCACACACAAACCTGTCAGTTGTTGATGTGTTGTCGTGCGTTGTCAAGTCTCTATTCACATGGCTTCTGCGATTCTTCGGACACTATTAGTGCTTTTTTAGAAAGTTGTGTTTGGTACAGCTTTTATTCCATCTAGTGTAACATGCTATTATTTCTGGTAGACATGGATATTGCAACTAAAGAGCTCTCCAACCGCACATCAACGCCAACAAAGGTTCGGTACAAATCCAAAGCAATATCGCTGAATTGTGAGCTGTTATAAGTGCCCACATTTTTTAGAGTCGCAAACATTTTACCTTCAGGGTCTTTTAAAGCAAGGATTGAACACCCTACACATCTTTTTAAATTCCTTTGCAGGTAGCCACACACCTTAGACATATCTTACATTTCAGCCCGGCTTAAATGTCCGGAATCTTTACGGCCCAAAAAATATACGAGGAGTAAAACATTTCAAAACATTGAACATATCATCCATAGGGTTTCAAAGGGGCGGAACATTTCCGGTACATTTCCGGAAAGTTTCCGGTACATTTCCATGGGAAGTTAAGCTGGGGAATTTTGGAGATATTCCATATTTGAAATAAATACATTAATTTAAGTTTTCCGCACTCTCGCGGGAATATCTCCGCGAGCGAGCTTAAGTCTCACTTTCGATTGCATGATATAGCCCAGCGCAACACCTTCGTCACACATGTTGCCACTTGTTGGTACCATTTTCAGGCGATTTGTAATCTGTTCTAGAAATTGTAAAAAAAAATGTATTTTTTTATATTTGTGGAGTTAGGTGGTCCGCGAGTGTTTTCTTTATTGGTTAAGTGGTCCTTGGTATGAAAAAGCTTGAGAAACACTGTACTAGATCAATACATTTGTATGTGATATTTGCAATTTAAAAATTAAATAAATATATTACCCCATAATATCATCAAAACTTACTTCACTTTGTGTAGTCCTCAAGGCTCAAATGTGTGGCTTCATTTGTCTTGTGCTTTGGGCTCAAAAATGTGGTCCAATCTTCTAGATATCATCTGTGCATGTGATGGAGGAATGCACAGTGCCTGTAGGGGGTGTGGTCTCAATAGCCATGCAGTAAGCAGTGTGCTATGTAGATGTGATTGAGGAATGGCATGGATATTCAAGTGTACTTGAATGGCATCTGTTTGTTTTAGTCAAGATTATGCTAAATGTACTTTCCCCAACTATATTTAAGTTCCCTATGAAGAGCCAACCTTGAATTTAGAAAATTCCCAATTTATTCCCATAAATTCCCGTTTATTAAGTTTGCACACGTATTATATACAATACAGTATGTCCATATGTTTCTGTTTTGGTAGTAGATTGGGCTATTATAGGGAATTCAAATTCATTATTTACATTTCACATTGTGTATTAT